AAACTGTTCACATTTTATGTGATAGGTCTACAATGTGCTTTAAAAGAATCTAAGGAAGATAGATGGAAAGGTGAGAATACAGATAAAACAAGAAGTATTAATTTACTAAACACGTGCCAAGCTCACACACATTGTGTGTGAATCAGTCCTGAGTGCTATACAAAGTCAGCTACTGCATAGCTGCTACCGCCACAGGCCAGTGTGGGAAGCAACCACAGACAATGAAATATGGTGTCCCAGGTGCTGTACAAGAGATGCGCAGCGGAGATACCCACATGCAGAGGACAGGGATTCTTAATCAGGCTGAGGCGTTGCATATAGCTTTCCATAGAACTGATGCTTGAAGTGAATCTTGGAGAATAAATAACGGTGGCGGTGACGGGGATGGGTTGCAAACTGAAAACGTTCTAGAAAGAGAGGGCAAGCAGGTAGGCATGAGATAGCATGGCAGTGTCGCACAGGTTCTGTACAAATGGAGAAAAGAAAAGAGGCAGGCATAGGGCAGAAGATAAGGCTGAGAACCTTGTCATGAAGACCCGAAAGTGGAAGGGTAAAGAATTTAAACTTTCATTCTAAAAGATAGTAGGCAGGGCTGGCAAGACGGCTCAGTGGATAAAGGCACTTACTGCCAACGCTGGCAGCCTGAGCTGGATCCCTGGGACCCATATGGTGGAAGGAGAGAATTAACTCTAGTAAGCTGTCCTCTGATCTCCACATGTGTGCCACGGCCTGTGTGTGCATGCCTACACAAACACACACATACAAACACAAACAGGATAATTCTTAAAAAAGAATTAAAATGACTGGGCAATCACGTAGACCTATTAGTGGGAGAATGGCACTGTGTTATTTTCAGTTTACAGACGGCTGCGACTCCGAGTGGAGGAGAATGCAATGAGAAAAGGAGCCAAGGAGACGAGTGCAGACATTAAAGTAGAAGTCTGTAGCACGAATTCTAACTGGTCTTAATAAATAAAACTCGGAGTCAGATAGTAGGCGGTGAAAGCTGAAGAATCGGAGAAGCAGTGTGGCCAGCCACTAGAGAGATCTTTTACTTCTACCAATGTTCAATAGCATCCTCAGACTGCAACTGTCTCCACCAAACATCAGTCTGAGGAGGCAGTCTGCGGACAGGATCGGCCCTTTGGTCTGAGCACTGGAAGAAGTACAAGGTCTCCCTAGGAGCTGGCTGCTCTGCTTCTCTGATCCTTCAGCTTTCACCGCCTAATATCTGACACAGCGTTTTATTATTAAGACCAGTTAGAATTTGTGCTACAATTGCCCAGATGACAGAGAATGGTCATTTGAACTCGAATGCTGACAGTGTAGAACTGGGTAGATTCAAGATATTTCTAGAATAGTAAAACAAGCAAAGACTTGGAGATGGGTTAGATGTCAAAGAAGAAGGGGAAACTGAGACAGGAACTAAGATGACGTAAGTTTCTAGTCCACTAGAATGTCAATAACTAAACTGTGGAAGAAACATTTGGGAAAATAAGAGGATGCGCTTAGTTTAGGACCACAGTTATCAGCACGAGGAAACTGTGTTCACCAGGGGACAGTGGAAACAATTTCGGTTATTATCAACTAACGGTACCTAGTAGATGGGACACTACAGCCACTGCTAATCATGATACAATGGACCTGATGGCCCCTCACAAGAGAAAATAAACACAACCCAAAACAGCAGCAACACAGATGTTGAGAAAACCAGATTAGGACAACATTGATTCCAAAATCTCTAATTAATGGCTTTTTAAGGATGCTCAGCAGTCTCTGGGAAGTTCCTCAAGCTTAAAACAGCAATATAATGTAAATACAAGGTAACAGCTATGCATTTATTAAGCATCTATTCAAGGCACCAGTTAAGATTGGGTGCTAACTCCCAAGAATATATTCAGAAAGAAGAAGGCCTAGTATAGAGTCCCCGGGGACACCAACAATGATAATAGGAAAGAATTGATTTTAAAAAAATCCCATGAGGGTGCTGGAGAGATGGCTCAGAGGTTAAGAACACTGGCTGCTCTTCCAGAGGACCTGGGTTCAATTCCCAGTACCCATATGACGGCTCACAACTGTCTGTAACTCCAGTTCCAGGGGATCTGACACCCTCACACAGACACACATGCAGGGAAGGCACCAATGCACATGAAATAAATAAAATCATTAAAAAGAAGAATTATGAGAAAGAGAGAGAATATGCACAGTCTGAGTCAAGGACATGAGGTGCACCCTCCTCTAAAAAAAAAAAATCCCATGAGAATGACTAAGAAGTAGTCAACAAGGCAGGAGTAAAGTTCGGGCTGGAGAGATGGCTCACGGGTTAAAAGAGCTTGCTGTTCTTCCAGAAGACCCAAGTTCAGTTCCCAACACCCATATCAAGTAGCTCACAGCTGCCTATGACTCTAGCTCCAGGGGAGCCTTTGCAAGCACCTGCACACAAATGACAAATGGCACACACACACACACAAAATAAGTATTTAGAAAAAAGTTAGGAGGAAAGCTATCAGAGAATAGGTATCACAAACCAAGTGAAGGCAGTGTTTCAGGAGGGAAACTACAATAAGACAGATGCAGTGCTAAAGGAAGAGACAACAAGAGTAATAAGCTAAGGGTAGAAAGTTTATGTGGTCTTTGACAAAACTGAGTTCACTGATGGCTTGGGCAAGATCAATTTCAGTAGAGTGTTCAAGACATAAGTAAAAATCATTAGAATTTCTTAAAGGTGGGAAATATTAATCATACCATGAAGCAAAAAGAGCAATGAGGTGGGAGTGGACAAAGAAACAGGAGAAGGGGTGTGTAATGAAGGACAGGGAACCTAAGAAGCAGGAATGAGTCCAAACAAAGAAAAACACAAGCCTTGAAGGGACAAGGGGAAAGAACTGTATCTTTCACTTAGACAGAAGTAAAGAATGGTTGGACTTCAGTATGTTTGAAGATGGACAAACAGCAAAAGGAATTTGCTTCTGAGAGCTCTTTATGTTAATCTTCCAAAACCAAAGGTAAAAGTACTAAGTAAGTGGATACTAGTTGTAAAGCAAAGGATAATGAGCCTACAGTTCACGATCCTAGGGAAGCTAAGTAACAAGGTGAACCCTAAGAGAAACATATATAGATACCCCTGGGAAGGGGAAATAGACAAGATCTCCTGAGAAAATTGGGAGCATTGGGGTGGTAGAAGAAGGGAGGGAAGGGAAAGAGGAGTGGAAAGGGGGAGGGGGAAGGGAAAGGATAGTTGAGATGGGGGAAGGACAGAGATGGAGAGCAAGGAAAGGGATATTTTGATTGTGAGGGAGCCATTATGGAGCTAGCAAAAAACCTGACACTAGAAAAATTCCCAGGAATCTATAAGGATGACCCCAGATAAGACCCTAAGCAATAGAGGAGAGGGTACCCAAAGTGGCCTTGCCCTATAGTCAGACTGATGAATATCTTAAATGTCACCATAGAACCTTCATCCAGCAACTGATGGAAGCAGAGGCGGAGACCTGCAGTGGAGCACTGGGCTGAGCTCCCAAAGTCCAGTTGAAGAGTGGGAAGAATAGGAATATGAGCAAAGAGGTCAAGACCATGATGGGGACACCCACTGAAACAGTTTACCTGAGCTAATGGGAGCTCACCAACTCTGGCCAGACAGGGAAGGAACCAGCATAGGACCAAACTAGACCATCTGAATGTAGATGACAGTTGTATGACTGGGGCAGACTGAGGGGCCACTGGCTGTGGCACCAGGATTTGTCCCTGCTGCTTCTACTGATTTTTTGGAACCCGTTCTCTTTGGAAGGATAACTTGCTCATCCTGGATATAGTAGAGAGCGCTTGAACTTTCCCCAAAGCAATGTGCCTTACCCTCTCTGAGGACTGGATGGGGGTGGGGTGGGGGAGAAAGTGGAGGGAATGGGAGGAGGAGAGGGAGTAGGAACTGGGATTGGTATGCTAAATGAGAAAAGATATTTTTTCTTTTTAAAAAGTGCAAACAAAGGTAAGCGTTTGGAACAATCACTAACAAGAAGCCAGTGACAACAAGAGGCCAGTGATGCGGCTCACTGGAAGAGTGCTTGCCACCAACCCTGACAATCCGAGGTTGATGCCTGAGATTCTTGTCCTCTGACCTCCCCAACTATACCACAGCACACACACATACAGCGCGTGCGGCACACACATACACACACGCTGTGCACATAAATAAATGTAATGAAATAGAAAAATCCCCCACAAAAATAGGACAAGAAGGTGATTCTGAATGGCATGGGGATTGTGGAAAACGAGTCTACAAAAACAGCTGTGTCCTAGATGGGGCGTTCTGAAAGCCATCATGTGTCCCATGAAAAAACAGCACCCCTATGTCAGAGGCAAGCTGGTAAGAATGAAGGGGGGAAGAGAGCCATCTGGGAGTTTAGCTTGAGGCCTTTTGCTGTTCAGATCCACAAGCACAGGCATCATTTGAACGGAGTCACCACTGTTGCCCTTCTCCAGGTAGACTGCCTCAGACACAGTAGGCACCAGAAGTGGACCCGTAAAACAGACAGACTCAGAAATGTCTCAGGGGTCAATCCCATGAGAAATTTGGGGTTTTTTGTGGTGCCAGGAATCAAAGCCAGGTCCTCATCAATGCTAAACAGGCAGTCCCCAGCTCAGCCTCATGCTGAATGCCTTACCGCCATGCCTACCGCTCTCATGGCACTTCTTTGTTCTGCTGAAAGCATTAACCTTTCAAATATTTTGAACACCTGACTCAACACAGTGGTCTCAGCAGTACCGCTTTCCTGTTAATTCCCAGCTCCTAGCGTCCCTGGACCCCTTGACATTTCCAGTAACAACAGCAGTTCAGTTCTGCCTCCCACTCTCTACCGTCCCTGGAACAAAACCGGAACAATGTTCTGCCCACATTAAGAGGTAGGCTTTCAGCACAGAGCCCCTCCTTTCCTCCAGCAGTCACGGCAGGCACCCATATTAAAATGTCAGAGACGTGCAGTTTGAAACTACAATTGCCCCCCCCAGGTCATCTTCCACTAGCCCTTGTTCATTTTTACCTGAGCCACTTGACTGTGTTTCTCTGGGATGTTTTTCAGATGGTTACAAGGTACACAGACGATATTCCCATCTACATGAAGAAAAATGATTTATTTATATGGTTTTCATCCTCACCCAGCAGCGTCCCTCCTTTCGAAAGCATATGTTGATACAAAGAAGCAAAAGGCCTAATTCAAGTACATAGCTATTTTTTTTTCAGAGAAAACATAATTGTTCCCTGGTTTCGCTATTCATCAGCTAGTTCTTAAAGGAGCTAGCTAATCCTGAATGCTTCCTCTCATACCATGAGTGTACCTTGTGACAATATCTGCTTTTTGTTCAGATTCTAAGAGGGAAATAAAATGTAATGGGTTTTGTTTATCTATTACTGAATAATAGAACACTGACGTCATAAAGCCATTTAATTCAGCACATGAAGGAAAAAGCCAAATGCATTGCTTGTCCTAATGAACTGGAGTTCAGACATATGGATATTAAACAGTGTGACTAATATCATTTGATGATGCTTTGACTTGATTTATTGAAAATGGGCAAATAAAAAGCTCAGGGGTGGAATCTGGGAATGGATGCAGGAACCGGGTTTCAGAAAATGCCATTGTGATTTCCCTCACGTGTACCCCCTTTCCCTTCCAATTCTTTACAATGGATTCAGCACAGAAAGCACTAGTTTTTTTAGGTCTATGAGGATGGGGATTGATAATGACTCACACACAATAAGGGTACTGCTCCCAATATGGACAGGAGCAAAACTAAGCATTGCAATGACAATGACGAGGTGGCAGCAGTGCTAACAAAAACATTTACTCTAAGCCCTCACTGGGTAATCTGAGAAATTGCATTTAGAGGCAGTATAGGCAAGGGCAGTGATACCTATCACTGTTGTAATGATCAGAAATTAACCCAGACCAACCTTGCAGCCATGAGCTGCATCATAGCTTGCTTTAAGGTCTTTGTGTCTTCCACTCCTATTGACACTGGTATCTGTGCCCTCCTCATCCCTCTCCATGATTGTTTTGTAATTTTTGTCTGTTTTGTTTTGTTTTGCTTTGTTTTGTTTTCAACTGACCTCTCCAAGTTCCTAGGTAGTACCCCACAGTCTTTGGGTTGCCGTCCAGGCCCCGGTTCACAGAGAAGGTGGACTTATTTCGGTAGCCATTGATGATGGGCTGGCAAGGACAGAAGGAAAGAAAGGAGAACAAGAGATCAGACAAAATCAAAGAGGACAACAAGAAAGAGAATGCAGCCATGTCCTCTGAATGGGGAATATGTCGCTGACTTGGAAGGTGTGGTACATGGGAAAGCCTGTGGCTGAAATGATCCAAACACTCTTGACAGCATATTTCTCATCTGTGCTGTCGATTTGCTTTTCAATAAAGTTTCCTTGCTACTCTGAAAAAGAAAAAGAAATTTCAATCTTGCCAGAAAGCAGGAGCTAACAAAAGTGACCTGTCAAGAGCTGGAATAGTTTAAGCTTTGCAGGACATATGACACCTGCCATAACTGGTGACACTGTAGCCTCGAAAGCAGCCACAGACACAAACAGGTGGGTTAGGCTGAAATACAGAATGACAGATTTGGTCTAAGGGACATGGCATGCCAACTTCTGCCACAAATGAAATTCTGCTATTTGGAAGCACTGTTAGGAAGGTTTTTGAAGCCTGGAATCTGCCTAAGGAACTAGCATGCTAGTGCCTGATAAAGTGGGCTCTGTATCAGACAGTCCAGAATATGTAAACATTAGCTCTGACACTTTGAAGATGTGTGCCCTAGGTAAACTGCCTAGTCTCTGTGTTCTCTGATAGCTTCATTTACAAAATGACAGTACCTATCTATCCCTCAGGGCCATTGTAAACAGAAGAATGAGAAAATGATGCAGGGTAATCACCCGCCCCAGCAAGTGCCCGGGCGACTATTATGATATTATTAGCCATTCCAAGGCCACAGCAGGTAATAATTAGGGAGGTGGGGACTTACAGAAGGTATAATAGGATGGAGGCGACAATGCAGCCCCTCCGAATGAGGTGAGGCCGCTGTTCCATGGACTCCATGGAGGAACTGCAGGTAAGACTCTAGTCTTTGTAAAATTGTCTTCTGAGCTTCAAATTTCACCTGCAACAGGAAGAATATAAGCAATACAGCGAAGCATTTTGTATTTTCACTGCAAAGAAAAGACAAAAGAGGATCTCTCCAAGATGCATGGGTTATGCGCTCAGCAGATAAGAGAAGCAGGAAATACAGCACAGGCAAAGACTTAATAAGAAGCCAAGGAAAGGTCAAGAGGGAGTTCTGTGTGAGCTCATCTTTTCATCTGACCTTTAAGATTAAACACTTAAAGTATATGTCAGTGCTGCCCAGTAGAACGTCCTATAATGGAAATGTTCTGTCTCTGCTGTGTTCTCCACACACAGTAGCCATTAGTCACGTGTGGCTAGAGCACTTGCAATGTGCCTGGCGAGACTAAGGAAAGGCTCACAGGAGAGATAAGGTTGGGCCCACAACATTCTAAACTGCCTCAGGTAGTTCACACGGGTAAGCAGCCTTCAGAGAAGAAAGCACAGGGGGATGCAATCCTAATGACAGCACTTCAAAGGCGCCCTGCTCAACCTTGTCCTCAAGTTCTGCACCAACCACTTTGAATTCAATTTTCTTTAAGGTCACTGCATGTTCTGTTCCTACTGCTCCTGTTCTCCGTACCTGACCTCTCTGCCCTTGTGTTCTCAGTTCTACTAGTCACAGCCATCAGCTGACTTCTCCAGATTCCCAGGGAGCACCCATGCTGTTTGGACGACTTCTTGTCTGAGCCTTGGTTGATGGTTCTGCTTTCTTTCTGTCGTTCTCTGCTTTTAGTTCTTTCAGAATTTTAAAATTTACTTTTTATTTTCTTGTGTCTGGATGTTTTGCCTGCATGTACGTCTACGCACTATGTGTGTGTATGGTGCCCATGGAGGCCAGATTCCCTGGAAGCAAGTTACAGAGGGTTGTGAGCTGCCATGTGGGGGCTAGGGATTAAACCCGGTGCCTCTGGAAGAGCAACAAGTGCTCTTAAGTACTGCATATCTCTCCAGTTGCCCTGCTCTTTCCTTAAGTGTCTCACCATGTAGTCCTGGCTGGCCTGGAACTCATTATGGAGACTGGGCTTACCTCCAGCTCAAGAGCCACCTATCTCTGCCTGCCAAGTATTGGGATTAAAGGTGTGTGCCACCATACCAAGCTTTTTATTGTCATCCTTATAGCTGAGTGTATGTTAGAGGGATGTGTGTGTGTATGTGTGTGTGTGTGTGTGTGTGTTTGTATACATGTACAAACACTCTTGCACTTTGCAATGCGGGATGTGACAAGAGCAGCACCGTTTTAGGCATATTAAATGATTAAAACAAAATAAGAATACGGGGCTGGCGAGTTGGCTATCAGTTAAGAGCACTTGTTGTTCCTGCAGAGGACCCTGGTTCAATTCCCGGAACCTACATGGTAGCTAACAACTATCTGGATGTTGTAAAAGGAGTGGCAGGCCACTTCCCGCTGCCCAGCTAGCTTTACCCGAAATAATTATACGGAAACTGTATTCATTTAAACACTGCCTGGCCCATTAGTTCTAGCCTCTTCTTGGCTAACTCTCACATCTTAATTAACCCATTTTTAATAAATCTGTGTATCATCACGTGACTGTGGCTTACCAGGATGAGTCTAACCTACGTCCGTCTCAGAGAGGGGAGCCATGACATCTGCCTGACTCTGCTTTCTTTCTCCCAGCATTTTGTTCGGTCTACTCCACCTATCTAAGCTGCTGTCCCATCAAAAGGCCAAGGCAGTTTATTTTTATTTGACCAATGAAAGCAACACATAGAAAGAAGACCCTTCTACTCCATCTGGAACTCTAGCCCCAGGGTATCTGATGCCCTCTGACCTCTGAGGCACCAGGTATAAACATAGTGCACACATATACAAGTAGGCAAAATACATATATATATGTATATATATATATATATATATATATATATATATATATAATAAGTAAACCTTCAAATTTTGTGAAAAGAAAGAAAGAACATGACAAAAAGTCTAGAATTTTCCCCTAAAGACCGAAGATTTACTTATGGAAGCCAGTGCCAAAAGAGTCACCACTTAGGGAATAGTATGAGGAAGGAAAGTACACTAGGTGGAGTATTTGATCACCAGCATTGACTAGGTATGGTCCTCAACGCCCTCAAAGAACTGAGAGAACCGTAGATGGCTGAGTTATATGCATATACATTTTACAAATTCTTATACTGCCCAGTTCAACTGGGTGTAAGTTCCTTCTTTCACCTAGCACTTCTCATGAACAAAATTGCTCCTGGCGAACAGGAAATCTACATTATGCTCAAATTGTTCTCTAATACATCAATCCACTGGAATAAATTTGTTTTCAAAGCAAGCATTATGCAAAATTGACTATATTTAAATTTAAACAAACATATGTGACTGCCGGTTCCCGTGTTGGGAAATTTGACTATATTATTACTCTTACACACAAGAATGACAAGAAAAACAAAGAAGAGCATCAGCAATTGGAAATAGGGGTCTAGAGTTTAGAAGCAATAACTAGCCTAAAGTTCAACCATCAGAGCCATTAGCAAACCAGTTTTAAAGACCTTCAGGGAGCAGCTGGAGCCGTGGCTCGACGGCTAGGAGCGCCTAACACTCTGCTCTAGTGCCCGAGGACGCGGGTTCGAATCCCACCTGGTGCCGACAATAGCTATCGATAATCAATCGTTATCAATCACTGGGGTAAAAAATACCTTCAGGGTAGGCTGGGAAGATGGTTTCCTTGACAAAGGGCTTATCTAGCATTTGTAAAAGCCTGGATTTAAGCCCGTGATTGGTATAAAGTAAGTGGGATGGTTCACTCCAGTAATCCAGGAGGCAGAAGAGATTCGAGGTCATCCTTAGTTCCAGCATGAGACGGAGACCAGCCTGGGCTACACGACACTTTGTTTCAAAACAAACAAACAAACAAACCACAAAAAGGCATGTAGGGCAACTGAACTGAACTCTCCAATCAGGTTTTGTATAAGTCTAGTGCCATTCTGCAGCAGCAGGAGAAGGCCCAAGCCTGACACCTACCTTGAGCTGTTCTTCATAGCTCAGCCTCCAGAGCGGAGTCACAGCATCAGCCAGCCTTGAATAAAATAATTCAGACATGCCGTTCATGATCTAAATATGTGTTGAGCGTCTACTATGCATAAGCACTTCCTGCCACCAGTCTCTGATGGTTAACTTATCAATTCAGAAGCTACAACTGACTCTCATTCTCCTAAGGAGATGGGAGTCTGGGAGAAGAGCCCATTTGGGTGATGCCTACTACTTACCAAAGCTGAACAGATGGGCAAATTCAAAATAAGAAAAATCCAGATTTATCAGGTGGCAATTAGTCATATTACAAAAAGCTTTACTTCTAGGAGTCTCTAAAAAGATCACCTCCTTAATAATTTTAAAATATAATTTGACTTCAAAAATACATTTGTTGCATAAAATGATGTATATTTGTGCTTGTTTGGCTGTAATAGGACTATTCATGCCCAATCAATGTAGTAATTTTTCTTCTTTCTCCTTACCCCACTTCCCCCATCTCTGAGACAAAGTCTCACTATGTAGCCCTAATTGGTCTATCAATATATGTATACCAGGCTAGCCTCAAACTCACCCACTGCTTCTGCAGCCCAAGCACTGAGATAAAAGGCATGAACCAGAATGCCCTGAATAGTATTTTGATTTTTATTTTCTTAGTTTTTAAATTTTTTTATTTTATTTTCATTTAACTTTGGTTTTGAAGACAGGGCTTTCTGTATCCCAGGCTAGCCTCAAATTTGCTATGTAGCTCAGGATAACTCTGAATCTTCCTGCCTCCACCTCCTGATTATTGCAATTTCAAGTGTGTACCACCATGCTCAGTTCCACAGACCTTCTTTCAAGCAAGTTCCTAATTTAAGACCTCCTTTTTGACAAAGATGCACTCTAAGACAAGAATATTCCCTCCTAGTTCCCAAAGTAGTTCCGTTACTATCCTTTACAAGTCCTCAAGATTGCCCTGGTCACACTTCAAGTACCCCCATGAATTGTCATAATGCTGTATTAGTCGGATTAGCAATACAGAATTCCACTGGACCCAGGGATTCTGACTTGCTGAAAACAAATGCCAACAGCTTGAGTCTTACCTCTCCTGCCAGGAGTCATCTAGTGATCTGAAATGCCTTTGTTTCTTCTGATGGTTTTGTCGGCTTGGGTGCTTCTTAATTATCACACTGGTGAAATTTCCCTTATGTGCTCTGCCCAAAAAGAACTGTGACAAATCTGGTGCGTTTGCAGCATACCAAGGAAGCAGTCCTGGTTTGGAGAAGAAACCCACTCTGGAAAGGAATACTCTTGGGTTGTGCATTATGACTCTTCTCTTGACGCCTGCCAGTCAAAGACACACACTGAAATTCACCCACTGAAAGGTGGACGTAGAAGCACAATTCATCAAGCCCTTCATTCATTTATAAATATTTATGGAACCCCAACACCAAGCACAGTGCTATCACAGTATACTCAGTAAAATGTACCTCTTGAACACAACTTACGACAAGTAAGACAAAGTTTCAAACCAGACTTAGAGGTATAGATCTATAATTCCGTCAATTCAGGAGGCTAAAGCATGAAGATCGTAAGTCTAAGACCCAACCAGACTACACAGTGAGTTCAAGGTTAGCCTGGCTAACTTAATGAGATCCCCTCTCAAAATTTAAAAGGAGCTGGGGATATAGCTTGGTTGACAGAGTGTTTGCCTAGCATGAACAAAGACCTGGGTTTAATTCCTAGCACTCAGGAAGTAGAAGCAGGAATTTCAGCAGTTTAAGGTCATTCTTAGCTGTAAATTACATTTGAGATCAGCCTGGGCTATATGAGACTCTGCCTCAAAAAAAGAGAGAAGTAAAAAAAGGTTGGGTGTGTTGGTGTATACCTTGAACTCCAGCACTTGGGAGACAGAGACAGTCAGATCTCTGTGAGTCTGTAGCCAGTCTGATCTGCATAGCAACTTTCAGGTCATCTGGGGCTAAATAAGACCATGTCTCAAAATAAGAAAGTTAGGAACATACCTCAGTGGTAAAATGACTTCCTAGAATGTGAGGCCCTTAGTTCAATCTCTAGTACCACAAATACAATCAACAAACCAACAACAAATCAACCAACCAGCTCCCAAAATAAAGAGATGAAAATAAAGATTCTGCTCCCTAGGATACATTTCTACAGTCAATCCCTTCCCTATCCTACCCTCCTACCCAACCAACCAATATTTAGTAAGCACTTACTATGTACAAGGCAACATGTCACAGCAGTACTTGAAAGGGTTACAAGGTTATCCTCTAATTGAGAAGATCAAATGAAGACCCAGGAAAATGTTAGCAAGTAATATGGTAAACTTGGTTCCTGATGGATGCTCAAGAAAAGCTTCTCAGATCTTGTACAGAAGAAAAGATCTGTCTGAGCAGTTCTGCAAGCATAAGTCATCAGATGAAACAAGAACTCTGAATACAGAGAAGAACCAAAGGACAGTGACTCCACAGAGAAGAGAGCAAGAAGAGATGCAGCTGACTTAGAAGAGGGACCAGGAAGGCCATGTGGTGGCACATCTGTAACCAGAGCCTCTGCTTAAGAGGCAGGGGCAAGCCAGCTTGGGCTAGATAGTGGGTGAGTTCTAGATAGCCAGGGATGCATCATCAGATCCTGACAAAGAAGGAAAGGATAAAAGAAAGGAAGAGGATGGGGAGAAGGGGGAAAGAAAGGGAGATAGGAAGATAAAATAGGCAAAGAATAAAAAGGAAGGAGATGCAGCACCTAGGGAGCTATCGAAGCCAAGGGAAGGGTCTGTGATGCAGGAACTGACACAGCCAGGAAGTCTGAGGCACCAAAGGGAAAGAAGGCAATGGGTAGAACCAGACAGCAGGGACAAATGAAAGCTTTGGGCTTTCAGGACGGAGTGAATGGGCTTGGGCTGGCTGCTGGCTCTAACACTTACTAGCTAGATGGCTTCTAGCAGGTCAGTCATTCCTCTGACATTCCTCTTCTTTCATCTGTAAAACAGAGAAAATGATAATGCTACCTACTTCATATAGTAGCTATAAGAGCTAAGTAACGAGAATTAATAAAAATAAAATGTACCGCTGGAGAGTAGATCAATGATAGAGCACTTGCCCAGCCGGTACAGGGCCCTAAATCCAATGCCACACACTACATAAAAAGTACTCGACTGAAGATTAAAGAGAGATGACGTCTGGAAAGCTCTAAGCACAGTGCCCAGTAGCTGCAAAAGCTCTTCGGTGTTATTACTGTCAAAATGCATTTAAGGATATCATGGAACGGAATGGGGGAGGCAATGTAGATAGAGGGCACCAGAAAGGAATTGTAGAATAACTCCGAGGACAACGCCGAAACACTTTCTAGAAGAGTTAAGCAATGTGACTCTCGGAGCACAGTGTTAGGCCCTGTACCTGTCAGTGCCTGGATGAGAGTATTCTGAGAGGAAACCCCTCTTCCTCCATTACAGGACTTTCCTTCGGTCTGGTTACCTTAGGGTGTGCGCTCATTAGTTTTTGCGACAACGTGACACAGCTAGGGTCATCTGGGAAATGGAATCTCAATTAAGAAAATGCCTCCATCGGACTGGCCTGCAGGCAAAGCTGTGGACTATTTTCTTGATTACTGATTGATGTGGGAGTGGGGGTAGTGTCACCACTGGGTAGGTGGTACTGGGTTGTAAAAGAAAGCAAGCTAGCCAAGCTGGCAGTGATGGTACACACCTTTAATACTAGCACTCGGGAGGTAGGTAGATCTCTGTGAGTTCAAGGCCGGCCTGGTCTACAGAGTGAGTTCCAAGACAGGCTCCAAAGTTACACAGAGAAACCTTGTCTCAAAAAACAAAAAACAATAACAACAAAAATTAAACAAAAAAAAAGAGAAGAAAAACAAGGGGGAAAAAGCAAGCTGACAAATCATCAGAAGGCCTCTGCTTCAGTTCCTGCCTTGAGGCCCTGCCCTGACTTCCCTCAGTGATGGACAGTAAGCTACAAGCTGAAATAAACCTTTTCCTCCCCAAGTCGTTCTTGGTCTTGGTGTTTCCCATAGCAACAGAAAACAAACACGACAAGTTACCTACCTAGCCATTGCTCCATAAGCATCTTTCCTTTTTCTGTCTTTTCTTACAGGACTGGACACTGAGCCTATGCTAGGCAAGCACCCTGTCACAATGCTGTATCACCAGCTCTCTTTTTACTAAGTTGCCCAGGCTTGCCTTGAACTCACTGTGTAGCTCAGGTAGGCCTTGAACTTTTCATTCTCTTGCCTTAACCTCTTGATTATCTCGGACTAGAGGCCTGTGTCACCATGCCTAGCTGATCACTGTTCTTAAGTGTCACATAACATGTAAATGAACTTGACATAACCTATGGATCTGCTATGAAGTTACCTTCAAGGTGTAGGAGGTCCTTCTGTCTGTGTGTTGCTTTTATTGGTCAATGAATAAAGAACTGCTTTAAGCCTATGGCAGAGAAGAACAGAACTAGGCAGGGAAAGCTAGACTGTATGCTGGGAGAAAGAAGGGTGGAGTTAGAGAGAAGCAGCTGTGGAGCCGGAGACAGAGGCTGGGAACTTTTGGCCAGTAAGCCACTGTCCTGTGGCGATACACAGGTTAATAGAAATGGGTTAAATTAATATGTAAGAGTTATCCAATACCAAGCTAGAGCTAATGGGCCAAGCAGTGATTTAAATAATACAGTTTCTGTGTGATTATTTTGGGTCTAAGCTAGCCAAGTGGCCGGGAACCAACAAGCAGCCTCCCACTACACCTTCAGCCATCAACCTCTGCCATAGATTTTGTCAGGATGGCCTTATTTGAGTTTGGGAGGAAAATTTCAAATGTCTGACAGGATATATTTAAGCTGATCCACAGTTCAGATGTAAAAAATAGACACCCATAAGAGGCAATGAGTTGTCATATTTAAGAACATAGGCTTTGGGGCTGGAGAGATATCTGTGGTTAAAAGCACCTGTTGCACTTTAGAGTACTAGGTTTGATTCCTAGCACCCACATGGTAGCTCAAAACCATCTAAACTTCAGTCTCAGGGGATCCAATGCCTTCTTCTGACCACCCTGAGAATCAGGTATTCTTGGGGTACACACACATACATGCAGACAAAATGTTCACATACATAAAATAAATAAATCTAAAATTGAAAAAAGAATAGACTCTTTAAAAGGTGGGATGGCATAGCTTAATGGTAGTATGCTTGACTAGTATGCACAAGGCCTTGGACTCAATTCCTATCACCAGGGAAAAAAGGAAATGAAAAAGGGGGGGTGGGCTTGGAATGTAAGACAGTGACAGGCAAGTCACTAGTTCAGTTCTTAACAATGCAAAAAGAAAGTCTTCAACAAACAGCACTGGAAAAACAGGGTAGCTATGTGCAGAAGAATGAAACTAGATCCTTACCTCTCACCCTGCAGAAAACTCAACTCCAAATCAATCAAGATTCTCATCATGAAACCTAAAACAGGCTGGGCGATGATGGCACATGCCTTTAATCCTAGCACTTGGGAGGCAGAGTTGGGTGGATCTCTGAGTTCAAGGCCAGCCTGGTCCGTGGAGTGAGCTGCAGGACAGCCAGGGCTGTTACACAGAGAAACCCTGTCTCAAAACAAACAAACAAAAAACCTAAAACAACTAAAAGAAAAAACTTCAAGACAAAAAAAGCAAAAAACAAAACCAACTACAGAAAAAAAAACCCAAAACTTCAAAACCTCACCAGAGTTCAAAACTTTCTGAATAGGACACTAATTGCTCAGAAAATACAGTCAATGGTTGAGTAGCGGAGGCTCATGAAATTAAAAAGTTTCTGTATTGCAAAAGCAAAATGGAGAGGCAGCCTACAGAACACCACGAGAACATCTTTGCTAGCCACACATATATGCCAGAGGAGTAATACCTACAACACACAAAAACTTTAAAGAAAAAGTAAAAGTTAAAAATAAACAAGAAAACAAATGTAGATTAAAACTACTTCGTGATTCCATTTCACCCTAGTCAGAATAAAGACAAATAACGACAAATGTTGACAAGGATACGGGGAACTGGGAACCTCTACTCACAGTTGATGGGCGTGTAAACTGAAGAAGTTACTATGGAAATTAGTGGGCAGGCTTATCAAACACTAAATATAGAACAACAATAAGACTCAGCTATTTCACTTCCTGGGCGCATACCCAATGGACTCTGCAACCTCCCGTAAAGACGCCTGCACATCCATGATGATTGCAACTCTAGTCAACACAGCTAGGAAATGGAGTCACCCTACATGCCTATCAACTGATGGACGATGAAAATGTATTACATATACACAATGGAATTTTATTAGCTATAAACAATGAAATTCGCAAGAAAACAGGTGGCGTTGGAATATATTAAGAAGTTCGAGAGCCAAAAGTGGTGGCGCACACCTTTAATCCCAGCACTCAGGAGGCAGAGGCAGGTGGATGGACCTCTGTAAATTCAAGATCAGCCTGGTTGACATAGTGAGTCCAGGACAGCCAGGGCTATGTATGTAGAGAGACCTTGTCTAAGAAAAAGAGAAAAAAAGGAAAGAAGGAAGGAAGGGAGGGAGGGAAGGAGGGAGGGAGGGAGGGAGGGAGGGAGGGAGGGAGGGAGGGAGGGAGGAAGGAAGGAAGGAAGGAAGGAGATAACCCTGACTCAGAAAGACAAGCATCTCATGCTCTCTCATACACAGACTCCAGCTTCTAATATTTAATATATGTGTGCTTATGTGGAAATACAGAGGTCAAGAAACCAGAAAGGGGCCTGTGAAAGAAGGATAAGAGGCTTTACAGGAGAGAAGTGGGGAGGGAAATAAAACCCACATGATATGAAAACAGGACGGAGAAGACTGAAGGTGGAAGGGTTTAAGCAGGGACAAGATGAAGGGAAAGAAAGGGAGCAACCAAAATTAAGGATGTAAGAAAATCCCACAAAGGAACCTGCTAGTCTGTAAGCTAATTTTAAAGTTTTAAATAGGTGACATAAGAACAGACAGGAGGACCAATGGAACCGAATAGAAGACCTGGATATCAATCCACACATCTTCAAACACCTGATCTTTGATAAAGGAGCAAAAAATATCAAATGGAAAAAAGAAAGCATATTTAACAAGTGGTGCTGGTATAACTGCATATCAACATGTAGAAAAATGAAAATAGACCCGTATCTATCACCATGCACAAAACTCAAGTCCAAATGGACTCAATATAAAGCCAGTCACACTGAATCTCATAGAAGAGAAAGTGGGAAGTACACTTGAACACATTGGCACAGGGAACTACTTCCTAAATATAACCCCAGCAGCACAGACACTGAGAGAAACAATTAATAAATGGGACCTCCTGAATCTGAAAAGTTTCTGTAAAGCAAAGGACACGGTCAACAAGACAAAATGACAGCCTACAGAACGGGAAAAGATCTTCACCAACCCCATATCAGACAGAGGTCTGATCTCCAAAATATACAAAGAACTCAAAAAATTGGACACCAAAAGATCACATAATCCAATAAAAAAAATGGAGTACAGTCCTAAACAGAGAACTCTCAACAGAGGAATCTAAAATGTCTGACAGACACTTAAGGAAATGTTCAACATCCTTAGGCATCAGAGAAATGCAAATCAAAACAACTCTGAGATTCCATCTTACACCTGTAAGAATGGCCAAGATCAAAAACACTGATGACAACTTATGCTGGAGAGGATGTGGGGTAAAGGGAACACTTCTGCATTGCTGGTGGGAGTGCAAACTGGTACAAACACTTTGGATGTCAGTGTGGCGATTTCTGAGAAAATGAGGAAACAACCTTCCTCAAGACCCAGTAATATCACTTTTGGGTAAATATCTAAAGGATGCTCAATTGTGTCACAAGGATATGTGCTCAACTATGTTCATAGAAGCTTTGTTTGTAATAGCCAGAACCTGGAAACAAACTAAATGCCCCTCGACTGAAGAATGGATAAGGAAAATGTGGTACATTTACACAATGGAGTACTATACAGCAGAAAAAAAACACCTTGAATTTTGCAGGAAAATGGATGGAGCTAGAAAACATTATTTTGAGTGAGGTAACCCAGACACAGAAAGACAATTATCACATGTACTCACTCATAGGTGGTTTTTAAACATAAAGCAAAGAAAGCCAGCCTACAAACCACAATCCCAGAGGACTTAGACAACAATGAGGACACTGAGAGACTTAATAGATCTAATCTACATGGGAAGTAGAAAGCAGGAAAAGACAAGATCTCCTGAGTAAACTGGGAGCATGGGGACCTTGGGGGAGGATAGAAAGGGGGAGGGGAGAGGCAGGGAGGGGAGCAGAGAAAAAAATGTAGAGTTCAATAAATATCAATAAAATAAAAAAAAATTTTAAAGTTTTAAATAGGGATGGGAGAGATGGCCCAGTGGTTAAGAGCGCTTGCTCTAGCAGAGAACTCGAGTTTGGCTCCCAACAGCCACATGCTGGCTTACAGCCAGAGGATCCAGAGGATCCAACACCCCATTCTAGCCTCCATAGGCACCACAAACATGTGATGCATAGACATACATGCAGGGCAACATCCATACACATAAAAAAAGACAAAATTAAACTGTCTAAACGTTATTAGGCTGTGAACCCACATCCTAATCCAGGATCTACTTCTCCCTAGTTATGTGGCTCTGGACAGGTTAACTAAACATAATGAATGTCAGATCATCACCTAGAAAAATGGGACTAATAATATCTTCCTTTCAGGACTGTAGTAAGTGTGGGAGCCCACATGTGACTCAGTTTCCATCTGGAGTCAATTCTGACTTAAAAGTCATTTGAGTTCAAGCTTGCCTGCTCTGCCTGCATCCTTGAGGGCTGTGAGAAAGTTCTGATTAAGCCCACAAGAGAGAGCATTTTGCCCATGAGAAAAAGAACACATCTAGTAAAAAGTAGAAAACAGAAACTGCTTGCTGCTAGCAGAATTCACATGAGCAGTATGAACCTGTTTACACTTTCTCCCAAGGACAGTACAGGGAGGAGGTTAGCTGAAAGCACAGCTCTTTGTTCTGCCTTCTGCCCTTGATCTGTTAAAAAAAAAAGACAAGTTCTGAAATAAACTCTGGGCTCTTTGGCTGCTTTGACATCACCAAGCAGACCTCCCGATTCAATCCTGTGTTCTGTCTTTCTTTCAGCTGACACTTTCTTAGCCTTAACGACCCCCCAATCCAGGAACCCTGGCTGACTTTGATGGAGCAGGCTCCAACAAGTAAGAATTAATTGATCGTGGCAGTAGTAGCGCACACCTTTAATTCCAGCACTCGGGAGGCAGAGGCAGGCAGATCTCTGTAAGTTTGTGGCCAACCTGGTCTACAAGAGCTAGTTCCAGGACAGGCAGGGCTGTTACACAGAGAAGCCCTGTCTCGAAGGAAAAAAAAATTAAATGAATTTCTATACATGAGGTGCTCAGGACTGTGCATCACACAGTCGATGATTCAAAGCATGTCACTTGGGTCACTGGGGCTTCTCTGTACCTAATGTCTACAACCTACCAACTGGGGAGGTAGGTATTGTGAGGCTAAATACGGTTAAATGAGAAATTTTAAAAAAATAAGACACACAAACTTTCCTGACCCTCTGAATGAGTGTCTGCTGGGCTGTGGAGAGGTTAGGACCTGACCAGAACCCCCTGCTAGTACTATCAAAATTATGTGACCTATGATCATCAAGGTGAGAGAAATGTAGATATTTGATAAGGAAATGACAAAGGCCAGTGAGAAGAAGAAATTAGGGGCGAAGTAGGAGGTAAAGAATAAGGAACGAAGGCTGGGGATATAGCTCAATTGGTAGTGTCTGCCTAGCATGCAGGAAGCCTGGGTTCCATCCTCAACACCAGACACGGTGTGCATACCTATACTCCCAGCCTTTGCCCTTGGGAATTAAAGGACCTCTCTATCAAAAGTGCAAAGTCAGGCCAGTTGGATATATAGTGAGACCCTAATCTCAAAAACAGCAAATAAAAATAATTATTTATGAAAAGGGAAAAAAAGCTGGGCATGGTGCCTTGTGCTTCTAACCCAAGCACGGGAGATACTGAACCATGATACTCATGAGTTTGAGGCAAGCCTAGGCTATTAAAACTTGATCACAGCCGGGTGGTGGTGGCGCACACCTTTAATCCCAACACACAGGAGGCAGAGTCAGGCAGATCTCTATGAATCGGAGGCCAGCCTGGCCTACAAGAGACAGGCTCCAAAGCTACAGAGAAACCTTGTCTCGAAACACCAAAAGAAAAACAAACAAACAAAACATTTGAGCTCACTCAGAAATAACAAAAATTTTTTTAAAAATAAAAGGTTCCAGCTTGTTCACCATTTGTAGCAATGGGTCTTTTACTATTGTTAATAATTTCTGTAGCTAAATATATTTTTCATGGCAAGTCAGCAATACCAAGCAAGGTTAGTTCTATTGTTTTTAATGTCACAGAAGGCAACTGATCCCAGAAGAAATATTTCCCTTTTTTGTTTTAAATATAAATACTGATAATATATGTGAGAAAAAATTTCTCTGTCTTGATTCCTGCCTCAGGATTAATCACTGACTGGAAAATCCAAGAGTTTACAGCAACCAACTAGGGTTATGTTTACTTTCCTGAGCTTCAATGGATAATCTACCCCCAGTGCTCAGAAGTTCAAGTCAGAGGTCTGAGCCTCATAGAACCAAAGATCCCTTGGAGCAAAATAGTCACCCACCCACAGGTAGGAACTCTGATTGCCTGCCTTTCCCATTGGCTGGACACCAGCCAGGGCTATTGACTAAAGCAGAGGAGAAAATTAATTTACAAATGTTTTCCATAGCAAACCACATGCTGCCTGGTCCACCCCTTCCAACCCAGGCCTCTCTGAGTAAGTCTGTCCCGTGAGAGTCTATAAGGAGTGTGTGATGGTTCATTTTAACTGTCAAGACTGCACCTCGTGGGAGATCACGTAGGGACATATATCCAAGGAGGGACAGGTTAGATCAGGTTGGCCCGTGGACAATGTGAGAGGAGCTTGTCTTGATTATGTTAACTGTGGAAAGACCCAGCTTCCTGTGGGCACTAGCTCTGGGTTTCAGTTCTGGACTGCAGAATGCTGTAGAAAGCGAGCTGGGTAGGAAGCATGTATGCATTCATTGTCTCCGTGCCATTGGCTGCGGATGTGACTAGCTGCTTCAAGTTCCTGTCTTGACTTTTTCATAATGAATTGCTGGAAACTGCAACTGTGAGCCTAACAAACCCTCTCTCCCCTAAAGCTGCTTTGGTCAGGGTCTTTTACCACGGCAATGGAATATTTAACTAAGTGGATTAGCAGACAGACGCTAGGACACGCTACCACAAATCCGAAAACCGTGGGTAGGTCGCAAGGCTGAGATAGGAGGGATGTGGGGGAGGGATCTGCAATGGTAGACAGTAGGCTGGCTGCGACCTTGCACAGCCACCCTGGTGGCATCCCCGGCCCCGCCTGCCTCCTTCCCGTCCCAAACCCGACACTTGGACACGGTGAAGTTCTCCTTAAACTGGGTTTTTCAGACTACTTACCCACTACTCCTTCCTTCGGGGCCAACTAAAGCCTCCGAACCAAAAGGTCAGCCACAGCGCTGGGGGCGGGAGGTCACAGGGGCGAGTCACTTCCTGGTGCGTGACGCCCCAGCTGGCCCGCCCCGCGGCAGCCAGCGCTGCGGGGCTCCTCCTCCGGCTAGCACACCGCCCAATCCGGCTGACTCCCCCTGAGCCCTTCGTAGGAAGTGCTCCTGTCTCAGCGGACGGCTGGACTTTTTTTTTCCAAGTTCCTCTCTGCTACCCCGCCCACCTTCGGTTCTCCCCCCACCCCCCATCAAATATAAGCCAAGGGAAAGACTCCTGAAGAAATTCATATCGCCTTGTTAATGGTATTGCCCATCCCAGCGATGCTACACACTTGAACCCTCTCAACCCAAAGCTATTTTTCTTTTCCTATATATTTTTTTAATTATACAGACTTATCTAGCTCACGGGTGCCATCACCCATGGGAGAAATCAGAAAACAACTTGCTAAAGTCATTTCTCTCTTTCTACTCTGTAGATCTCTGGGATCGAATCCAGCCCATCAGATTTGGCAGCAAGCGCATCTCACCCTCCAAACCAAGCCTGACCCACCTGGTAGAAGAAAAGAATGGACTTCTGCAAGCTGTTCTCTGATCGCCATACGCACCCACACACGTGAACCCCCGACTCTTCATACACAACTGATTGGTTAATTAATCAATTAATTAAAATGTGATAATTTCTGAGGCAGGGTCTCACAATGCACCCCTGGCTGACCTTTAACTCACTATGTAAACGTCCCAAGTTCTGGGATTACACACCCAGCATAAAACATTTTCAAAAGAATTCCAGGCATCCACGTATCTGGGAGTCGGAAGATTTGAACAAAGGGGGCAAGGTGGTTTTATTAAGTCCTTTCTCAAGGTAAAAGTCCTATAGTGAGCCAGAAAATTTTTCAGACAATCCTTCCCCCTCTATTTTATTTGGCAATAGAAAGAAAAAAAAACAAAAACAAAAAACTTGTCTTGCTTGAGTTTGGGTGGTTTAAAGAAAAAATAAATAAGAAGAAGGACGTGATGGCTCCTAGGTATGGTGGAGGTGAAGGTTTATCGTAGATAAAAGGAAGATCAGAGACAGAGGCAGAGACATCTGGGAGAGTCCAGAGTGAACATGACCCTGAGCTGGGCTGAGGAGAAGGGGGAGGGGAGAGCCAGACCAAGAAGCCAGGAGGGTAAAGAGTAGATGAAAAGGCCAGGTAACCAGAATGTCTGGATTATATGGTGAAGAGCAGCTAGGGGAAGGGCAGCCCAGGCTCTAGACTGGAGAAGGTTAGGGTAGGAGGTAGGGTATGCCTTCCACACAGCATAATGAGTAGGGACTGAGGGATCTGGTGGCCAGGGTGCTTGGATATGTTAAACAGGCACTTCAGCTGTTTGTCCCAAATTTGAGACCTAACAGTAGTTTTGTTTGTTTATTCTTTGTTGTTGCTAGGGTTTTGTTTAGCTTTGTTTGGGTCTCTTGCAGCACAGGCTGGACTTGAACTCTTGATCCTCCTGCCTCCACCTCCCAAGTGGTGAGATTATAGACCTTCCCTCTGCACTTGGCTAATTTTTATGATTTGTAAATGACCTTAAATAGGAAGCACATTTTAGTTGGTGTTTCACTTCTTGAAAAGCATAGCATGCTTATTATGTGCAAAGGCAATGCTAATATTAGTCCCAGGGAGTGAATGAAACAAAGCCAGTACCTCAAATAATAAGTACTGAGTCAAGCCAAGATTTAAAAACCACACACACACACACTGCCAACGAGGGGCGGTGACTTGGGCCTGTAATACAGGAGGTTGAGGTGGAAAGATAAGACTATCCTGGCCTAAGGAGTAAATCCCATGTCAGCCTAAACTACAGCGTACAACTTTGTCTCAAAAACAACAACAACAACAAAAACCAAGGCTAGGAACGTACCTCAGAGTGTTTACCAGCATGTTCAAGGCCCTGGATGTCATCTCCAGCACCATATAAACGGGATACTGTAGCTCACACCCATAATTCCAGCACTCAGGAAGTGGAAGCAAGAGGACCAGGAGCTCAAGGTTATAGTGAGTTTAAGGCCTGCCTGGACTACGTGAGACCCTGTCTCAAGAAAACATTATACTGTGAAGGAACATTGAATAAAGAATTGTCTCTGAGCCTGATGGGCTGAATTCAATTCCCAAAGCCCACATGGGAAAGGAGAGAACTAACCTCCAAACTTGAGAGAGAGAGAGAGAGAGAGAGAGAGAGAGAGAGAGAGAGAGAGAGAGAGAATAAATAAATATAAAACCGCGTGGTGGTAGCACATGCCTTTTATCCCAGCACTCGGGAGGCAGAAGCAGGCAGATCTCTGTGAGTTCGAGGCCAGCCTGGTCTACAAGAGCTAGTTCCAGGAAAGGCTCCAAAGCTACAGAGAAACCCTGCCTTGAAAAACCAAAATAAATAAATAAATACATAAATAAATTTTAAGTTATATTTAGTAAACATACAATAATTATTTGTAAAAACAAAAGGGTCACACAGATACTTAAAAGCTATGTGCACTTTAGCAAATGTTTAGCTGTTTCATGCTTGGTCTGAATCCTAATTGTTTCTACCTCGTGTGGTTGTGATGAAGAGTAAGCGAGTTAATGCTAGGAAAGAGAAAGCGCTTCAAACACAGCAATCACACAACAAATGTCAGCTATTATCACTCAAAAATTTGAGGAGCTGGAGAGATGGCTCAGTAGTTAAGAGCAATGCCTGTTCTTGAAGACAACTTGGGTTCAGGTCCCAGCACCCACATAATGAGTGGGTGCTGGGACCTGAACTGTAAGTTCAGTTATAGAAGATCCAACACCCTTTTCTGAACTTTGAGGGCAATGGTCACACATATTGTGCATATATATATATATGCAAAGCATTTATACACATAAAATAAATAAATGATTTTCTTTAAATAAAAACAGAGGTAGAGAGATGGTTCAGCGATTAAGAATAGTTATTACTTGGCCAGGCAGTAGTGACACATGCTTTTAATCCCAGCACTTGGGAGGCAGAGACAGGCTGATTTCTTTGAGTTCAAGGACAGCCTGGTCTACAGAGTTAGTGCCAGGACAACCAGGCAGGGATACACATAGAAACCTGTCTCAGAAAAAAAAAAGAAAAAGAAAAAAGAAGAAAGAAAGAAAGAAAGAAAGAAAGAAAGAAAGAAAGAAGAGAGGGAGTGAGGGAGAGAGGGAGGAGGGAAGGAAGGAAAGAAGGAAGAATTCTAGGGACTAAGGATTTACCTCAGAGGAAGAGTATCTGGGTTTGATACCCAGCATGATGATAAAATAATATTGTGTATGCACACACAAAAACTCACAGCTACTTTTGACTGAAATTGAGACAATCCTAATTGCTCTAAAGGCTCTCAAAATCCAAATTCAAACCACTGTTGCAGGGTTCTTGGGCCTTTATGGTGGTGCTATCATGTAAAAATAGGCCAGAGACTTTTAGGAAGCCAAGCCCCAAGTTGAGTTGCCTTGCCCAATCTTGATACAGGGGAAGGCATTGGGTCCCTGCCTCAACTTGATGTGCCATGCTTTGTTGACTTCCGTGGGATACCTTACCCTATCTGAATGGAGGAGGATTGTGTGGGTTAGAAGGGAGGTGGTGGAGGAAATGAGAGGAGAAAAGGAAGGGGAAACTGGGGTCGGTATATAAAATAAATGAAAAATTTAATTAGCATGAAAACGGTCCAGAGAGTTCACCTTTGCCCTCCTTTCCTCTTCTCCTCTCTAGTACCCTCCCGTGTGGATGGCCAGCCTACTCCTTTCTGCACCTCCTAAACTTTTCCCTTTGTCTTCCCCTGCCCTTCCAGCCAGTCATCAGTTCCCATCCTGGTGTTTTCTGTTGTGCTGTGCCCAGAGCTAGGAGAGCCAGAAGAGGTCAATAAATATTTGATGAACTGAATCTCACCACCTTGCCTACTGGAAGAAAAAGGCCATTTCCTTCCGTGTCCCCACCGACTCCACACGTCCAAGCAAACTCGTTTAAAGCCCTTCTGTCCTTCAAGGAGGCAGAACCCTGAAGGGGTAAGAGAGAAAGGAGATTAAGGAAGCCAAAATGAAATTATTTAGCCATTAACCCCTTTATATTTATTTAATCCAATAGAACATGCTCTTCTAGAAAAGGAGAAACCATTACATCTGTAGGAGGAATAAGAAATAGCCCACATTATCGTAAAGGTTAGACTCTTCAAGCAGAAAATCTGTAAGTGGGCATGTCATAGGTGGTACGCAGTATTGTTGAATTAGATAAACACTGGAACCAAGATAACCTTTTGCTTTAACCTTGTTATCAACAAACAAAATCACGACAAAGTGAAGTATCTAGAAATTTTTCAAGCCTTCTCAGTTTGATGTAAGAAAAGATATGTGAGGAGCTACTGAATTCCTTCTTAGAAATCCGCGTATCAGGGACTAGAGAGATGGCTCAATGGTTAGGAGTGCTTACTGCTCCTGCAGAAGACCCAGGTTCAGGTCCCAGCACACGCATCTGGCTGCTCACAGCTGCCTGCAACTTCAGTTCCAGGGGATCTGATGCCCTCTGGTCTCCATGGGCAACTGTATGTACATGGTGCACATAAATTCACAAACACACATATGTATATACATACCTTAAAAATCATTTTTAAAAGAACATGTATTAAAAATATTTGGTAACTGGCTTAGTTCTAGTCAACAGTACCTTCTAACGCCCAGAGCTATGACAGAGGTTCTGAGGGACAAGATACACATACCGTATCCTCGAAGATTGAATTTAGGGGAAGACGAGATTCGCTGGGTAAGAATATACAACAGTGAGACTATTGGTAGTTCAAGGAAGGCAGCCATCGGCTTAGAAGGCAGGAAAGGAAAAGGATGTGAGGACTGGGTTGAGTGCCTAGGCAGTATATCCTCTGGGGGATATTGGAGGCTTCCGCGTGACAACAGGAGCAGACCACAGACGGTTCATCAGCATGCAGGCCTGCCTAGATGGAAAAGCGCTGCCACGGGCGTGACTTTCTTGCTGATTAGATTGATCCCAAAATACAGTGGAGGGTCGAGAATGCTGGTTTGAGGAGTTTAAGGTGATCCCTGTAAGAACA